CAAAATAAAATGAGTAAAACAGAGTATGGTTAAACCTGAAAAATTAAACGTAACAAAACAGCGAACGTGTCGGCAGAAAGCCTTCGTCAGCGAACAAAACAACAGAAAAAACGTTATAAAAATAAGAAATAGCACTTAGCTGGTAAGTAGTATCTGTGGGCAGCAATAGAAGTGTGCACACTTCTATTACTTACCAGCTAAGTGCTATTTCTTATTTTTATAACGTTTCTTCTGTTGTTTTGTTCGCTGACGAAGGCTTTCTGCCAACACGTTCGCTGTTTTGTTGCGTTTAATTTTTCAGGTTTAACCATACTCTGTTTTACTCAATATTTTTGTTCACCCCTTCCTAAAAAAAAAAAACGTGCAGTCCATAATGCTGCCCTTCAATTTGCCTCAATGTTGAGAAAAATCGCTTCTCGAGGCGGACCGCCACCCCCCCCCCCCCCCCAACCTTTGCAATTACACCTGCAGTATCTTTTACTTGTTTCAATTATACATACCAGTTATATTTTGGTGCAGGCAAAAAGTACCGGTATGCAAGTATAATGTACCTATATCTTTTTGAATAATACCAAAAAATACGACACTGGTTCCAAGCAACAGTTTGTAACATCATTAACCACCAAATTAAATAAATACGCGCAGAGTGGAACAAAAAATGCTCTTCGCCTTAGCTCTTTAGTTCATTTTTTCCTTATATATAATCGTCATATAAACATTTGTTTGCATGCTGCATACCTTTTTTTGTTTTTATTTTTATCTTCTGAATTTTCCGCCCACTGAAAAATGCCACGTCTAAGTCAGCAGCTGTCTATATTGCCTGTACCTAATACCGACAATGGTTTTGTGAGCCCGGCGGCACTATAATTTCTTCATATACTCTATTAAAATCTGAAGGCATACATCATACATATGTGAATTTTGCACAAAATAGCCTACCACATTTATCTATCTAGGCTATTCCGTTTAAAAGCTTTTGTAAAATCCAAGTTGTATTCATTGCTTTCTCTCTGTAGATCAACGGTGCTTCTCAGATGAAAGCTGAATTCAAATACGGAGATTTTTATTTAAAGATTTGTTTACTCTATAGGCCTACCGCATCCATTGTTTTACTCTATAGGCCTACCGCATCCATTGTTTTACTCTATAGGCCTACCGCATCCATTGTTTTACCCATCTTGTTTTACCGCAGCCATGCGTTTCATCGATATCCGAAAGAAAGAAGCAAAAAAAAAAAAGACGGAGCCTATTAAATGACAGGGATTTAACACAATTTGTGACTAACGCAAGCCTGTGCAGAGGGGTTGTGGGCTCAGAGTAAATCCAATTTTTGAGCTCTCACACATTTCAAAAGAAGTGTATCAAACGTAACTGAAACTGTACCCCAAAAAAACCACACAAAAAAACAACTAAGCATATATTATAATATATATATATATTATAAAACACATTTTTATATAATTATATCATTTAACAAATCTGCCCTTAGGGGCTGTCCATGCTGCCTGGGCCTCGAGTGATTTACTGGGTTGCCTCTGCCTTGGGCAAACGTTTTAAGTTGGTGGCCTAGCAATCAAATAGGCCTGTTAGCTAGCCGCCTGTTTTAATGCTAAAACAGATATAACATTATATATGACGTTCAATCATGATTTTTTTTTAAAGTTATAATAAACGCTTAGGCTTAAAGTAACTAAGTAAAACATTATTACTATCAATTAGAATTGTACCCGACGTATATGGAAATACTATCATGGCCAGACTCAAACTTTATTTGATTAAATTAAAATAAAAAATGAAAGGACATCTAAAGTCTANAGTCGACAACAAGGCCGGTTCTGTTCTCAATGACACAACCAATGCCAGATTTAGAGCTGTGGCCGCGAGTATGCCAACTTCCATCATAAGACACATCAATGTCTACTACCCCTGCTTGGTTTTGTTCTGGATAAGCTGCCTTCACTTTATCCACTGCAAGCTCCAACAACTTATCCTTGTAGGTTGGTAGTGATTGATGCAGGGTGGTAGCATGTTGGTCGAATGTCTTTTGATGAATGTTAGGAACATTAATAATTTCAAAAAACTTCCCCATACCAGCATATCCCAATCCAGTCACCAGTGATGCTGCCACAGCTCTTTTGTTGACATCAAAAGTTTTGCCAGTGCACACAACTGATGTATAAGAAGATGTGATGACGAAGTCACATACATTACAAATCACTTCCAAAAACAAAGCTAGCGCAGAACGTTTCTTGTCATCACTGCGGAGCACGAAGTGTCCCTCCTTGCATTCAGGGCATGAAAATTTTTTAAAAAGTGGCTGGAGGGCATCTACCTGCATTATAGATGAGGCAGAGAGGCCTAAGTTGTGCTGACATTCAAAGGCATGAAGTTTTGTTTTCGAAGAAGATGATGCCACAGAATCTTCATATCTAGAAGCTGGCGGTGAAGCGGGTGGTTGAGCTTGCGGTGAAGCGGGTGGTTGAGCTTGCGGTGAAGCAGGTGATGAGGCTGGTAAAGCTGGCGATGATGTGTGGCCCCTCTTCTGTTTTTCCTGTTTCGCTAGTCTCATCATCAGCATTTTCTTGGACTTCTTGGACATGGGTGCCATTTTCTATTTAGACCAAAATAATATTTTTATTAGTACTAGTATTATCATTAAAAAATAGCAAGGCTTACTTAGGC